CCCTCCGGGAAGGCTCCCAACCTTCCGACCAGAACCAGCTACGAAATCTGTGGGGCCCTGAACAAAATGAGACTGTGGGGCTCCTGCTGGAAAACGTTGTTTCAGGACAGAGCAGAAGGCGAAGCCAAGCGCGGGCGTTCAGTGCGCAGGGCGGGGTGTGACCGACAGCCCGGGCTCCGGCTCCCGCACCCCCTTCCAGCTCCCCGCTGCTCATCGCGGGTGTGGAAGTTTAGGGGCTCTCATGTGTGCCACGGGAATGCTTGAGGTGCAGAGTTGGAGGGGGCTGCGGGCACCAAGCGTTGCACACCTCCTGGGAGGAATGCGGGCATCGGCTAAGACCCTTCTCGTACTTTGTGACCAGCAGTCACTGTTTGTGAACCAAACAATTCTTTTAAAATGAGCCTAGAAAATACCATGTCAATGGGCCGACAGGTGAACGTGGTTATTTTAAACATTTGTTCGTTAGGGTCAGGGGAGGAGGCTGGGCGTTTTCTCACGGTCAGATTTGACAGAGCCAGAGGGAGGTAGGGTACAAGGCCCGGTTAAGGTCACCGAGTCGGTCACTATGTTCCCACTCAACGTCCTATGTCAAAGATCTGCGCTTGGGGTAGTGACTGAAAGCATGACCTCCCACAGCTAGAATTCCTGCCTTTCAGTTCTGGTTTCGCCACTTTCCAGCTACCGGATCTTGAGCAAATTCCTTCGCCTCCAGCGTTAGTCTCCACAGTTAGGGTCACTGTCGTGGAGGTAATACAGGCTGAATAAAGATGACGCAGGTAAATAGCGAGCCTGGCTAACTGAGTGTTCAGTCACTGTCCGCGAGTGTCGTTTGCATTACTTCACAGCTCACTGAATGTCGGTGTGTTGTTAACAACATCGTCGTCTAGTCCATTGCTTCTGACCACCCAACAGGGCTGTCTTCTGAGTTCACCCACTCTGCTCACGCAGCCCCTCGATAATCGACAACACAGACTCACCCCAGTTCCCTGCCACGCGGGTTCTCCTCCTAACCCTCTGCAGGGGTTTCCTGGAAGCTCAAACAAGTAACACTGGCCAGTCACAGGGCGTGGGCTTACCCAGTGCCACCAAGTCACGCTAAATTGCTCTCCAGAAGGGCTGTAGCAGTTTCTACTCCCACCTCACTGGGGCGGGGGGATAAAGGCCTGGACATCGTGGGATGACTCGGGGCCCTGCTGAAGGGCCCTTCCAAATCCACAACTCTGTGGGGTCGGCCGAGGCTTTCTCGGGCCTGCCCGGCATCTCGACTTCTTGCTCTGCCCACTCCTGCTTCCCTCTTCCTGCCACAGATGCTGTCCCAAGGGCACTCCCTAATAAATATTCTGCAAGCTAAACTCTGTTCCCTAGAAAACCCGGCCCGAGACTCCATGCTGCTTCTCAACCAAACTTTAAAACACAAATAATACAATTAGATTACGTTAAATTGTTGGAAGGATCGATCTCAGTAAATGGATACAACATGCCGATCAGAAGGCCACCTAATTTTGTTGTGCTATTGAAACGGTTGTGTTCAGGAAAACACATTCTGTTCTTTATTTCCTTCTGCTTTCTCTACTTTTAAAAAGTTAGTTACTTCTGCCCTGCAGCTTTATCAAAGGAAGTAAAATACTGAAGGGCTGCAGAACACACCACCCCAAAGTATGCCTCTGACATACGGATGATTTTGATCTGGTTATTTTGAGAAAATGCAGACACAGTAAAAGTGCTCTGAAAACAAAGTGCAAGTTAACCTTTTGTAAGTGTTATTTACATTAGAAAGGGGTCCTGGACCAGGAAGGGGGCTTTATCAGCGAGAACTCCACCTGAGAGACTTAGCTACCTGGTAAGGCACTCTTTGTTTTCCAAACATTTCATTTTCTCTTTTCAACTTCCCCAAACTTGCCTTTCTTCCCTTTGAAACCTAGAGCCCTAGCCCTTTCCTTAGCCCAGGATGGTGGATAAACCTAAATTCTTCTGGCCACCCTAAGTGGGGCTCCTAAAAACATAATTAAAATAGTTTTATTCTCTGTTAATCTGTTTTATGTCAATGTGATGCTTCGACCAGCCACAGGACCTGGAACAGAAGAGAACATTTTTCCTCCTAATATTCACAGCCTAACAATGGATTTTCTGACTCTAGCAAAGTTACCTTATTTATGAAAAACTAAAACTCATTATGATTTTTCTGCAAGTCAATGAGTTATATTTCCGACACTGATCTAAAAGGAAATAGTCCATTATTTAGACTCAGTAGGAATGCTAGTCAGAGAACAGTAGCGTAATGAAACTACAAATTATTAAATGTCGTCTTGCAGTTGAACCCATTTAAGGACCACTCAAGTATATCTTACAGGGATACAAGTGATTTTAGGCAATCAGTTAATTTCTTAGGCTACTTTGGTGGTGTTAAAAGAGAAATCAAGGCACAGTAAAAATTTTAAGAGTTTATTTGAGCAAAAATAAAT